ATTCAAGTGTACCTCAGCTCTTTGAAATGAAATATTGGGGAGCCATTCGTGAATTGTCACGAGTTAGGTTTTACTGTCTTGAGAGGCACAGTGGCTTAAATGGAAGGGAGACACGAGGGCGCTCCCTCTTCCACAGCAGGCCACGTGTGTTAGTGAGTGACAGGACAGCTGAGCCGTGAGTTACACCGCTCAGAATGTGCTGTTAATTTGACAGTGTTTCAGTGCCATTCTGAATTTTGTAACCCAACAGCTGCTTGACTGTGCGTTGTTCTCTAAACCCTCCGTTGCTACGTTCAGGTTATTTTGATAACCTGTGGTTTCTCTTAGTGTGTACCTAATGCACATTTTTTAAAAATCTAACTTTCTTAAGCTAGGTTAATACTCTTAAGCTCCTATGCTTGGCTGTTTTCTGACAGCTTGTTTTCTAAGCTTAGGCTGTGTCTTGGGCCTCCTGGAAGCAGAGAACAAACCTGCCCTCTTTCAGGGTCCTGTGGGACTTGAGCGCTCTGTCCTCTTCCAGATGCTAAGACTTTCCAGCTTCTGGCTTTGGGGTGGGGTCTGACTGTCTCTGTGCTCTCTGTAGTGTAGGCTGGCCTGGATTCTACTCTAGAGCATGCATTGAACATGGAGGGACCTTTCTCTTGAGGACATAGCAATCGGGACATGCACAGGGCTCTTGACTCACAGTGCAGCGGCCTTGATGGGGTTGGAACATCTGTAACGCCCGGGCCAGGTATCACGTCCGAGGAGGCAGGCAGAGCACCTCTTGGGCCCCAAGGGGGCGCTGTGTGTCTGGGGGAAGGTCTTCTATCCGGCTTGTTAGTTCCTAGGTTACATCTCTTATCCGCACGTGCGCTCTCCCCACTGATGCTCCATTTGCTGTCCTTGTTAGAGTCTCCTTTAGCAACTCAGAGGTTGTCTTCTCAACAGAAAACAGCTCTTCTCTTGGATGGAAGAGTCCATCAGAGGCTTGTTTGATTACTCTGTCAGGTCGGAAGAAGCAGTGTGTCAGCAAAGGCATGGCTAGCTGATTTGCTGCAAGTTTGAGAGTTGTGGGCTCATGTACTGCAGCTGCGGCGCAGATAAACATGCACGTGAAGCACGCACGGGTGTTCTGTGGTCATGTCCGTGGGTGTGCATATGCACAGAAACACATCTGTATGTATTGTGGAGAGATGGAAATGGGTACGAGTAGAGAAAGAGCAGAATCATTGCAGCTTCTCAAAGCAGCAGTCTCTCTTTTTCTCATTTTTACTAATACACTACTGATTTCAAAGGTTTTAGTAATAAATTGATGTGTGGCCCATCTTAGAAAGTTCTGTCCGTTGGTGTGTGTCAATTTCCCGAAATAAGCCATATAAAAATACTGTTGCGATGTGAAGTAAATATTTCTGAATATAGCTGGCTATGAGAATTTTCACATTGCTTTTAAAATGTTTGTGTAAATTTTGGTTTTTTGCCCCGAAATGCGCCTTGTGTGTACCTGTGTGTGTGTGTGTGCATCTAATACACATGCCTATGTTTTTAATACCTCACGTCCTATCGTGTGACCTGCAAGTCTGTAGCCGAATGTTGTCTGGTATGTGTTCCAATTCGATACCTTGCATTAGGAGTTGTGCTGGGGACAGGTATGGGAAAATGTATATGGATTTAATTTCTTCAAACAGTTTAAGGAGATTTTCAAGATCTGGGTCTGGTCCCGTTTAAGAAGTTGTTAATTGGAGTCGTTTGCTTATTTTCATTTGTTCCTCCCGTAGACAAGCAGATGCCCAGTGTCGGGAAGACAGTCCAGGAGCGCAGCGGGACCCAGGGACCCCGTCCCAGGTCTCTGAGCCATCTCACGCCTGGGAAGCTGCAGAGGCGCCCCGGGAGGGCCGCAGCCGAGCGGGGACCCTACCTCGCGATTACAGATACTCAGAGGACACCGCGCCCGCAGCCCCGCCAGCGCAGAGCGCCCCTGCGGCCGCGCACGCTCAGGGCCAGGAGCTGCGGCCCGTGAACGCCGCGCTGCTCGCCAAGAGGCCGGCCCCGCAGAGGCCGCCGCCACCCAGGCGCGAGCCCAGGCCGCTCAGGGGCCTGGCCCCTGCGGGCGCACCTGCAGCCGCCCACCTGGGTGCACCTGCAGCTACTCACCCCAGCCGGCCCCTCCCCCTCTCGTCCCCCGTGGCCCTGGAGGTGTGTGTGGCCCGCCTGTCCCTCTCCCAGAGCCCCTTTGCCTTGGCGGAGAGGCTGAGCGGTGCCCAGCCTGCAGACGGCGCTGAGCAGGACAGGCAGGATGTAGATGAGCACACAGCCTGTCTGAAGCGGGAAGCCCTGCTCCCTTCCAAGTTCCGGCCCGTGCAGACGTCCGCAATGGAGACCTCTCGCTCTCCTTCTCCTCAGTTCGCCCCCCAGAAGCTGACGGACAAGCCTCCGCTGCTCATCCAGGATGAGAACTCCACAAGGTACTGTCCCCGGGCGCTACAGTGGGCCTTATGCCTTCTCCCTTTTCGCAAGCCCCCTTCCGACGGCGCGAGGTTTTCGGTGCATCTTTCCTGGGTGGTGTATGACTGGCACCTTGCTTCCGCTCCAGAAGGTGGGTTTTAAGTTGGTCCTGGGGACTAACTGCATGGGGGGGAACCCACAGCTCCAATGGACAGGTGGATTTTTAACTTGGGGGGCGCTGTCCTGTCCCACAGGGAAGGAGGGGGATGTGAAGGAGGTGGTAGGCTATCCCCCATCCCCTCAGCCAAGCCCAGCACATTTATATCTGCCTTACCCACTGGCATCTGCGCACTAGGGCTGTGTTTTCCCTACGCACCTGCTCTTTGTAATCAGAATCAGGTTTAACCTAAGCATGAGCCCTTCAAGCAAGATTGGTGTTTTTCATAATATCTGGTATTTCCACACTCCGTTTTTCTCTAGAACTTTTTATGTGAAAAAGCTAAGCTGATATACACCGTTTATTAAAGCAGAAGGAAAATCGATCACATCTCATGGTGCTATTCTCACAATTTTAGGTGTGGAATTGTCTTTCGCGCCCATCGAGACATTGATAAATGTCGTCAGGCAGGGACTGACCAGCCAAGAGCACTGACCATTTAGCTTTCCTTACACTCCTCTCTGAGTGCCTTTGAGGAACTGAGAAATGGAAGAAGTGGAAAATTTTCATCTCATTCCACAGAGCAGTGGTTCTCAACCTGGCGGAGGACGATTTTGGCCCCCAGGGGACATTTGGCATTGTCTGGAGACATTGTGGGTGTCACAGCCAAAGGGAATAGTTGTCCCTGCTCTTGGCTTCCAGTAGGTAGAGGCCAGGGATGCTGCTCAACATCCTACAGTGTACAGGACGGCCCTGCAGCAAGGAATTATCTAGCCCTGAATGTCAATACTGTCTCATACCATAGCCAACAGTCACTTGTGGCTGTATGAATGTAAGTTAATGAAAATGAAATAAAATCCATTCCTCAGTTGCATCACGCGTGGCTGGTTGCTACTACACTGGACAGCAAAGGTAATGACTGTAATGTCATCATCTCAGAAAGTTCTGTTGGATATTCCTGCTCTAGAGTCTCAGACTATTTTTCTTTTAGCTTCAAAATAACTCAGCAGAGAGAAGACATTACGATACTGTCCTGTATCTCCAAATGTGGCATTGCAACCACAGCATCATCTGTGGGCCAAAACTGTGCTAGGTGTCATTCAAAATGCAGAGATCACTTAAATAGCCTTTCAAGTGGTAACATTGTTAAGTTCTGAAAGCGAGGAGAAGCAATAAGGTGGTCTGTGTGGTGGGTCAAATGTGTGATATTGTCGCAAGCTAGCCAGCAAAGCCCCCTCAGTTCTTGGGAGCTAGTCTGAGCGCGGTGGGCTCCGTGGAGAAACAGGCCACATGGTTGCACTCATGACCCGTGTTGGCTCCAGGAGGTGGGTAGTATTTTTCATTTTTTCTTGCCTGGGGTGTTGATTTTTCTCACTCCGTCTTTTCTCTGAGTTTGAGAGGGATTTCAACAAGCAGTGACAATACTTATTGAAGATACTAAGAGGGGGTCTTCGGGCATCCCCATTTAGTGTTCATTTGGGATGAAAAAGATTGTCTTTGAACCATGTCCCTGCTGTATAAGCCCTCATAGGGGGCCTGAATTCCAGTCAGTGTCCAGAGCCCTCTTGGTACGTGTCCTGTCTGTCCTTCTCTGGAGCACAGTAGGGCAGATGGTGGCTGAGCTATCCATGAAAGTTGCTACCAAGGAAGTTGCTCATAATGTGCTGAATTAAATGTCACCTTCCCCCAAGGCGTGTGTTATTGGTCAGGCCTGGTATGAGAGTGTGGAATCCCAATGACACACAAGATGAACGAGAGGCTGGTGCTCAGCAGGAGCTCTGTACCCACGATCAACCACAAACAGGTCAGCAAGTGAAGCACGCCCGGGACAGGGCCTCCTAAGCTACCTGTCATTTGGGCACAGCTCAGAGACACTCCTCTTGGCCTGACATCTGGTGACTGATTTCTTGAGCATTGGCTGCCCACCTCATCTCCCTCCATGTCTCGTCTTTTCCTCCTTCCAGTTACCTCTATTGATTACGGGCGTGCATGCGCCCCCCCCGCCTGCTGGAGAACTAGCCGGGGTGCAGGGCAGCTGCCTGTGTGCACGTACGTCGCATTCCCAGCTTCAGCAGGCAGTGCCCGAGCAGCTCCTGTGTGCCAGGCTTCGGGCCCACAGCAGGGATGCAGAGAGAAAGAAAATCAACATCCCTACCCTGCAGGGAGTTTCAGAATAGTCATTCATTCCAAATAAAAATGCATCGGGCCCGCCCTGGTGGCCTAGTGGTTAAGTGCGGTGCACTCCTCTTCAGCAGCCCGGGTTCAGTTCCCCAGGTGCGGACCTACACCACTTGTTAGTGGTCATGCTGTGGTGGCAGCTCACATACAAAAAGAGGAAGATTGGCAACAGATGTTAGCTCAGGGTGACTCTTCCTCAGGGGGAAAAAAATGCATCAACTCTTGTCCTAAAACTAGGAAGCTTAGGGGCAGGCTCTGTGGCGTAGCAGTTAAGTGCATGCGCTCCGTTGCTGGCGGCCCGGGTTCGGATCCCGGGC